ATCTACCAAAGGCGATGACGTGCCCTGAACACTCGAGGAGTTCGAAGATTTTGTACTGGATCGATTCGACTGACGCTGCAAGGGCTCTTCGTCGGCTGCAAATATTTTTAAAAAAGTCTTTAAATCATGATATAAAAATGATATGCGAAATATTACAGATTAAAAAATCAGAGCAATAATTCCTAACAGTTTAGATGATTTTTTTGCGTTTTTTCAAAATTTAACTATAAATATTTTCCTTATCAAAATCTAAAATATTAAAAAAAAATTTATCTCAATAAAGAATATTTTTTTAAATCTTCTCAAAGTATAATTTAATTCAAATAAACTGAAATACAATATTTTATTGTCTATTCGCATTTTTAAGCAGCTTGCGAAAATTTCTGTTTTTTTAAATAAATAAAGTTTAATATAATAAAGTATTAGATTTCGAAATATAAAATTGCCACATCACTATGCTAATATATATTTCAGCTCACCTGGAGGTGGAGAAGGTTGCGGCTGCTCTACCTGTTGCTGTTGACGCTGCCTTTCGCGAAGAACGTGACTTTGTCGCCGAGCATATCTTTGACTCGGTCGTCGCTCAAATTGCACAGTGCGGCGCGCCCGATTCAGCTGTGTCGTCTGGAATTCCGTTTTGCCACTGTAACGGAAACGCGAACCCATACGGAAAAAGTTCTGGCGACCGCTGGTGCCCTTGACCGGTGCACGTAGACGGAAGAAAGCATGATGTTCCACCGCGCACTTCCATAAATGTTTGCAGGCCTTCTCGTTCACCAATCTGAACACGAAAGTGTGCTCCTGCTCGCCTCTACCTTCATCGTCTTCCTCTACGACCACTAGCGTTAACTTTTTCTTCTTGAAGTCCAAACGACCAATCTTCGGCCAGAAGAACAAGCCTATCTTTTGCGTGCCTTCGAAAACCAGGATGCCAGTTGGAGTCAAGCCCAGAGAATACTCGCAGGCGTCTTTGCCAAGAACAATATGCATGTCGACGCCATACATATCTAGCCATTTGGCCTTGCTAAGATATGCGGATTCTGCTTGAGCCGGGGTGAGACCAGAACATTTAATGTATTCTTCTAATATTTCTAGTTCCATCTGTTCCGTTTGGCCTGGTACAAAGCGGAATTCCGACACAGTCGCAGCACTATGCATAGCAGGGTCGTAATCTCCTAATTCAGCTAGAATACGAATTCTATTTTTTAATTGTGCAATCATTTGTCACATGATAACAGCTACAATTTTATTATAGCTTAATTTCAATAGTAACAAAATGATTAAAAATACTTCTTGAATAAACTTACATTGAAGAGCCAGAGCAGCTAACTGAACTGCAACTTGATGAGGACAGTGAAGCTTGCCTTCCAGAACATCTTGCTTCAATTGCAAGAAAAACTGGTACCGCGTCAGCTCCTCACGCAGCGTATTTGGTTCCGAAGAATAGAATTTTACTTTTAATCGGAGCGTATACGGAGGTCCAACTAGATAAAAAATTATATAAGTTTTATGTTCTTTTGTTTTTGAAAGAATTTTAAAAAACAATGACACACATACTTTTAACTTGTTTCTTGATAGGTTTCGTTGGATCTAGCCAGTGTTGGACGTTATTGCTGTCTGTATATTGGAGTCCAAAGTAATCCTTTTCAATTAAGTCGAGGCTATAAAATACTTGTTCATATAAGTCATTAGCCAATGCTTTTTTCTGCAAAAGAAGACCAACAGTTACAAAACATAACATAAGTATACATATACAGACGGAATTTACAGGATGAAGCATGAAATGTTATACAATTTGCTTTATATACAGGGTGTCCGTCCATAAATGTCCGAACAAATATCTCGCAACTGGTTGTAGTTACAAGAAAGTTTAATAAGAGAAATTTGTACGACTCCGAGTCAGCTACAAAGTGCACGTAAAAATTTTTTTTCTGCGCGTGGCTTTTTCGAGTTATACGTAGGTTAATATAGTTTTTTTAAATGGATACCTATAATTTTTTTTGCATACTTATACAGTGGGGAGCATTTGCAATCAAAATCATATGTAAAAAATTGCTACTATGGATCGTTTACGAAACAATTGACATCTTAAGTATCAAAGTAGTAAATTGGATTCTAAAAAATTTTGAACGTGGTTTGAAATGTCAAAGAGAGGTTGAAGAAGAAAACAATGTTTTTTTATGGAATTTACCCATAAATTGGTCCAAATTTTGACCATCACGTTCAATACGACTGTTATCCTTCGTTCTGGACACTTTTGTTGATAGAGTAACCAAGCTTCGCTTTCATTATGCATATTTAAATGCCACATCTCAAGCATATCACACTTTTCACTAATTGTAAACATCGTTATTTTCGTAATCTACAATATAATATGAATTCATTGAAAAGACGACTGACTGACTAACAGATACTGCACTGAATTTCATACTCCATGGTATACAAATATTTTATTTACAAAACAAGCAGTCGCGTATTTTAACCAGTTGAAGATTTTGACGAGTTGAAGATCAGTGACACTGTTCGACTTCAAAATATTAGTCTGAATCTTGTTTTTCAAATTGTGATATAGAAAATCAATTTAAGATTCTCAATACTTAAGATGTCGATTATCTCGTAAACGATGCATAGTAGCAATTTTTTGCTACATATGATTTTGATTGCGAATGTTCCTCACTATACAAATATACAAAAAATATTATAGGTATCCATTTAAAAAAACTATATTAACCTACGTAACTCGAAAAAGCCACGAATAGAAAAAAATTTTACGTGCATGTAGCTGACTTACATGTAGCTGACTCGGAGTCATACAAATTTCTCTTATTAAACTTTCTTGTAACTTCAACCAGTTGCGAGATATTTGCTCGGACATTTATGGACGGGATATCCTGTATAACATATTTATTTTTAATAAAATTATAGAATTCACATACAATTATATATATATATATATATATATAATTATAAAGCCTGGAAATTTGACAATGTGTTAAATAGTATAACATTTAATGCGTCACTGTATGTAAAAGCATTTTCTAGTTCCTAGTCTGATTTATAGGCATGGAATAGGTCCTTTTAGTCTCATTTTTTCTCCTTTATCTTCATGACAATTATGTGAAGATAATAAAAAATATTAGAAGAGCCTAAGACAACAATCAAAGGTAAGAGAGACAGAAGAAAAAACTTGCCGACAACTCTATGGGCAGATCAGTGCCATCCAGCAGTACCACTCTACATTGCACAACATTTTTATTGCTGGGCAGTCTCTGGTTCTTGATTTGCGACGAAGCGGTTTGACCGCTGACGCCACGCGCCCTCCGTCGTGACAGGAATCTCAGCATCCTGGATCCTGACCGTCAAATCGAGATCCCATCGGCCTGCAGATGTGACGCGATCCACCCACTCTCCCTCTCTTCGCCGTCGCGATTACCACTCTTCAGTGATAACCACCTGCCAAATTTGTGAAGGCAACTCTGAAATCTCGCGGTGTCTGCATCAATCCGCACTTCCAGCACCAACGTTCTCACATTCTACACCTACTCGAAGATTACGTAGCGACCGCGCCACACAACAATAGCACACTGCATACATTTCTACACCCGCACCCCCTCCCAACCCCATCCATAAGCGCGCATACGCCCGACGGCGGAAAACGCCGGACGACGCTTCTTCCCGATGAGTTTCGGAACGGAACGGAACGTTACGAACGCATAGAGGCGTTGGAGACGCGAAAGAGGGGTCCTTCGTAAGAAATTTAAACAATTGCGTGCTGCGTAACGCACGAAATTGTTTAAATTTTTTAAATTTATAGTATTTTTATTCATTAGATTGCCATCGGAAATGCACTCATGAATAAATGTTAGTTGTATATTTTTAATTGTAAGTATATACTTTACTAAGTACTTTAATAAGTAATAAAGAAGATGAATCTCTTGAAACTGAATTTACCGATTAAAGTGTTTTTTTACATATTATTAAAATAGTTCTATAGAATTACAAATTATTATATAAGATTTAAAAATATGCATCAATGATTTGATAGAAAGAATGACTTCATAAGAGTTTCTAAAACGTTACATTTTTTATTTTAGTTTTGTAAAGATATGATACTAAACATTATTCATTTAAACTAGCTATTATATTGTATTCCAATTATGGTATAAGTATACACAAAAAATAAGCGTTTAAAAAATTATATTAATATATAATAAATTATAGGAAATTAACATAAACATAAATAATTGTAATTTTTTTTCATATGAATATTTATTTCTCTAAATGTAAAAACATTCATTTGTTATTACAAAATATATTTAGTATCGTTTACATTTTTTATTATTTATTTTAGCATTGCAATAAGTATCTGTAATAAAATATATCGTCGTCAATGTGTAATTCATATTTCTATCTTGTCAAAATAATTAAGAATTATACTTATATTAATTACCATATAAAAGTATAAAATATTATATTTATGTATATATGTGTATTTATATTTATAGTACACATATACTGTCTTATAGTATATTTTCATACATACAGAATGTTTATTGTCTAATAAATATACGTAACTCCTCTCATGAGCAAATGAAGTGAGTAATTAAAAAAATTCTGTAGCGTTTTCAATTTTTGCAATGATTAATGAGAAACTTATAAATAAATATCTGCGAATCAAAACGTACATTTACGCCCTTTAGCGCCCTTTTGTTCCTTCTCGTTGAATCTCGCAAATATCCATTCGCAGATCTTTATTATTAATTTTAATTTATTAATTAATTATCAGTAAATCGTAAAGAGACAGAACTTACAAGATGCAGAACTTTTTATCATAGTTTAACACTTGCTTTTTTTTATCTTTAAAGGATGTAATTATATATAATATGTAATAATAGTCTAAATATCCTGTATAACATGTTCATATACTCGTATGTATATTTATACTATATACTACATATTTTTTAAATTTACTTTTTATTAGAAAAAATATCGTATCATTCGGTATTGATAAAACGGTGGTTGAGTTACGGAAATATTTAAGATATTCTACAAATCGATAAGCTTGAATCGCAACGGTGATTTCACCGTATTTACAATTTTGCTCTCGTGTTCAAGTGGTCCATAATGCCATTCGATCCGAAAATTTCGTATGACCTATATATGAAACAAACACTTTTATATATTATGTTCTTTCCAATTTACGATGTATGACGAAAATAATTGGAACCCTGGTGAAAATTTTCTCAGAATTTTTCATATAATTTTTCAGAATTTCTATATAATTTTATAACTTTCTCACATTTTTTATACGAATTGGAATACTTCTCAGAAAATCTACATCTTTTCTCAGAATTTTTCATATATATTACTTATGAAATATCAGGGATGAGAAATTTCAGAATATTTCAGAATATTTCAGAATTCACTTGTATGAAAAATTTTGAGAGAAGATGTAAACTTTCCGAATATTTCTGAGTATTTCTGAAAAATGTTCCAATACGTATAAAAATTATGAGAAAAATTTTCACCAGAGAAGAATATAATACTCTCGCGATTATTCCGCATGAGAATTATCTCGAAAATTAATGAAATTGATTCAAAAATAATTCCACAGCTCATGATGCCTATTGACAAAATGATTATTAAATTCTGTGTAAAAATTGTGTTAACAAATTAAACGTTTATGCCTGGTTTATGCTTCGGTTTTAACGCTAAAATCCTAAAATTTAGCCAATGGAATACAGATTTTCGTTAAGACCAATTAAGACTGGTAGCCCTATTGGCTGAATTTTAAGATTTTAGGATTAAGACCGAAGCATAAACCAAGCATTAGCTTATTGATAGAATGAACATTATATAAAATTAATATTTCAAAAAAAATATGAGGAGATATCACAAGAAGGAGGAGAGAGAGAGAGAAAGAGAGAGAGAGAGAAGAAAAATAAAAAAGGAAATCGAGAAAATGAAAATAATAACATCTGTTTATATATATGAATATATATAAACACAGATGTAATTATTTCTACTTTAAATTACTACACACGTGTGTAACATAAAGTAGGATATGAAGAATTGTACTTTCGAATTCTTAATTTGTGGACGTAACGACCAAACGGAGTTCAGGAGATTTGTTTAGTCTTTTCAGGATTCACAATTATTAAGATATACTATTTGATGTTAGAAATTATTACAAAAATAAAAATTTACGAAAAAATTTACGATACCTTCATGAGTAACATCTCGAGCTCCATCTCAGCGAATCTTTGTCCAATACAAGCGCGAACACCATAACCGAAAGGCATGTATGCATGGGTATGCGTACTTCCATATAATAAAAATTCGGGACTATCTCGTATCCATCTTTCGGGAATATATTCCGTAGGACGCACAAAATACTTAGGATCCATCGAAAGCACTGCGTGACAAGCCATCACATTTGCCTGACGATAGAAGAAAGAAATCATGAAGAATACAATCCAATTTCATTATTTCAGAACGTATAAAATTTCATTTATAATGTTATGTAAAATAGAGAATTATAAAATGAGATTAAAAATGAGAGACTATTTGATTATGAACTAATTATAAGCTTCAAAAGATTAATAGATAACTTATATTTCCGACAAGGAACAAATATGGATCTAATATCAAACAAATAACTGTAAAAAAACTTTTCAGAGTATTGTTAATATATTCAATAGTCAATTGCTTGACTCAATATTTATACAATATTTTATGTTTGCTTACTGAAGCATCTAAATCTTATTTTCCATTTAATTTAAAGGAGTTTTAATAGAAATTTGGCACGAATATTTAAAGTTTAGATATCAATAATGAGAACAGATAATATTGAATTAAATTTGACAAAAAATCGGCTTAAAATTTTGTAAAAAAATTAAAAATTCTCTAAAGTTATTTATTATACTACAATGACATTGCTGAATTTTTTAACCAAATTTTTCAATGCATTTTATTTTTTTAATATCCCAACAAAAATATTAAAATTAATAAAATATTGACATGTCTTAAGCTATGTAATTTAGAAAAATACTAGAAAACAACGTACTCCTTTTGGTATCAAATATCCTCCTAAAGAAACATCTTTCGGCATATTTCTTAGAATGCCATTGGCGATGGGAAACAGCCGCATACATTCTTTAATACATCCCCTAACATATGGTATCTTGTCCAGAAGATCATGTGTAATAGGTGTTGTTTTCTCAGGTAACACAGACATTACTTCTTCTCGCAATTTTTCCTGTTTCTCCTTATTATTTGCGACATAGTATAGCAAAGCGCCAGCCGCATTGCTTGTCTATAAAAATATTATTTATCCTTAATTATATTTTATAAATTCTATTTTTGATACAGGTTTCTTAATTTTATATTATCTATTGCAAATTTATAAACACACACATCATGCATTATATTCCGTTTGTGTATATAAATATATATATATTTTATATATACATATTGCTTAGAACAATTGTTATGAAAAATTTGTGACTATTATCTTATATACTTATATGACTATTATATATCTTATTATTATTTGCCAGAATATTATTATATACTGAAAGTTCAATTTTATTTATAAAATATATAATTTATACAATATGTAATTAAGATTAAAATATATAATTTATACAATAATGCTATTAAGATTGTTTCTATATAATTCACAAATCAAAATTGGATTAAACTCTACATGTTTACCGTATCAGTGCTCATCAGTATATCCAAAGCCATTACAAGAGCTGTTTGTTCATCGATGTCCAAAAGTTTTTCCAGTATACTATAATCTCTATTCGTGTTGTCTCCTGATTTCGAAATATTGTTCTTAGCGTACTCAATATATTTCGCAGAAATTCTAAAAGAAATTATAAAATAAATTATATTATAAATATAAATAAATGATAGGCGAAGCAATGCTAATTACGACAATGACAAGTTGCATAGTGAAGTTTTGAAATTAATTTTCGATATATATATTTGTATAAGTTATGTGCAAGCAAAGTACAAAAACAGAAGTAAAAGATAGTAAAAATAAAACATTAGTTTGCATTCTAATAAAAAAATAGGACACACATAGGCGGTTTTTTTATAATAACTATTCACAGTTACTCATTATACGAAAATATTGAAGAAGTACGAAAATGACTAAAAGTAATAAGTTCGCAAGATTTTTGCAAGTATAATACATTCTCTAATATAATGTAACGAATATAAATTTCAATACTTACACATTAATTTGATCTAATGCACAGAATAGCTTTTCATAATTTCGTGTATGACCTTTTAATAGAGATGGCACATTTTCTATCTGATACGTAAGATCGAACATTTCCTTTATGCAATTAATCATTATTTGTGGTTCCGAATCCATGGCAAGATTAGGCTTTAAGCACCCCATTCGGTAATTCAATGCGATTGAACACATTGCTGTAAAATATACATAGAAAATAAGTTATTAACTATGATGACGTGAGTCTAGTATGTAAACAAAGTAATGTAATTATTTGTCTAACATTTAATTTTATAAACTCAATATTGTTACAAACAAAGCTTATATCGAAGAGAATTATTAAAACATTGACGGCACAAATATCTTGCAATTCTCTCGCATTCATATACACATACTTACTTTCTACACTCCACTTGTATAATTCATTCATAAAATCATCTGGCAATTCCAGCGTTTTAGGATCTCGCAATGTCGACATTTTATCCACGAACTCATTGGTTATATCGTAAATTTGTGTAGCGTGAGTTTTCACTATTTTTGGCCGCATCATATGCGGACCGACTTTCGATCGAAAATTCTTCCATGGTTCTCCCTGACTAAAAGCAGAAAAGTCATTTTTATTAAGAGAAAAAAAAGATATGTAACTTACAGGCTGACATTAGGTAGTTTGTTAAAAGATATATTAGCAGAAGAAAAAAATAAAAAAGTATTTAAAAATAGAGATTTTGTTCAATATGGATGTGTTAAAAATGTATAGAAGTTTGATTATTTATATTCTTTTCAATGGTACTACTGACCTTGTTGTGAGACCATACTGTCCCTTGTAAATGTTATCTCTGCTTTTGCGATAGTTGTGCAAGGGCTCCATGGCGATTCGCATTGGAATTTTGCCTTGCAACCGATACATACTTTTACATAATTCTGGACAAAATAGGAAGATACTTGGTTGTTCCTTTAGACCATCAAATTTGACGATATTGCCGTACTTATCATGCAGCATTCGCATAAATGTCAGAGCATTCACATTATGATATTCACCTGTATAATTTATACAAATAATTTTTACGAATGAAAAAAATCAATGAATGAGAAAAGAAAACGTATTTAAACGCTGAATATATTTGTTTCATGCAAGACAAGATAATAAATCTAACAATAAAATTATATTAAATATGTCTTCCATTAAAAATAATTTAATATTAAAAAAATTTTAGATAAATTAAGAATTAATATACAAATCAGAAAATGTAAATGAATGATAATATATGAACATTTTTCTATTTTTATTTTTATTTCAATGTATCAGAATATTAAAAAGGTTTAATAATAAGTAAAAAGGATACGTAAATAACATAAATAAACTGAGAGTCTTATTTGATCAAAGCAAATCTTAATGCTTAATAATATTTCTTTGTAAATTTATATATTAAAAATTGACAGATAATCAGTGTATAAACTGGAAAATGTACATAAATTAACGCAGAAATATTATTAGGTACTAAAATTCGCTCTGACCGAATAAGGTTTCTTTTTAAAAGTTTACATGTATCAGATACAAACAAAAAATTTAAATATGTAAAGTGACTCAAATTTATTTATTATCTGTTATGATTTTGTTGTTATTTACTTAAGTCTTTATGCGATTGAAGGACATATTAAAGTAGAAACAATATATGATAATAAAAATAAAATATCGATGCTTAGCATTATATTTAGTTCATATTGATTTATTAATTAATAATTAATCTGAAGATTCTCATTATTTATTACTTCATATATTCGAAATTGCATATCATTCGATCTTGCTTCAATTTTAGACATAAATTTGAATTTGAATAACAACGATTTTAGATATAAATTTGAATTTGAATAACAATGATTAATGATTTCATTATATCAGGCATCAATAAAATAACTCACCTATGTAAGGCAGAAATCTGAATAAATTGCCAATCAAAGGTAATGCTTTTGGACCAGGAATATCCTCGGTGGGCCGCACGTATTGCAAATTATTGCTCATGTCCTCTGTTTCATTATATCCTGTCGGATATAATGAATCTCTGATCGATCTTGTGCGAGATTGCATTTTTAATGGCAAACGCATGTTGTTGACTCCACGTATAAAAACTCTGGTCCGCGTCATACTTAATCTTTTGATTTTCTACAACATATCAATATCTACTTGTTCGATAACACTGAAGGTTTTATCATTGGTTCATATGTTCAGTATGATTAAGGCTCGGTCCCACCACATATAAAACTTTAATCTCAGTTTAATTTGCTGTTTACTCTTTCTAATTCTTATAATCAGAAAAAGATAAAAAGTAAATTGGACCGAGATAAAAATTAATCTAAGTATAGCGTTGACATTTTTATGGCAATGTACATATCATTCAAGAAATGTATATTTGGAATATCTGTTTAAATTAACAACCAGAAAAACCACAAATTCGAGGCACAAATAATTATTGAATATCAAATATTTTCTGTTATATACATTGTTATATACATTACGCTTTTGATGAACGAAGAAACAAGATTCAAATTTTGTTTCTGTATAAATATTAAAACATTAAAACATGATAAGAAAAGAATTTCGTACTCCATTTTTTTTATCCCATAATACATGGAAATTTTTTTATTTTCAATAAAATAAAGATAATTACGATATATATTATTTAATTTTACATGGTTTATATTAATTGATAGTGATGCTAATAATGTGGAAAAGCAATTTTAATCGAATATATATATATTTACTTAAAATGATATTCTTTCACCACAGACTGCTCAATTCTAAATAAGCACACATAGTATTTTGTAAATTTATGAGATAATTTTTACCAAAGTAATATACAAATGATATTGATAATAAAATATTATATAAGCATAAATCCGTAATATCATTCTTTAGAAAATTGTTGCATGTGCTCAGATTTAACAATCAATTCATGGAATATTCTAGAAAAGAAATACGTACCGTACTGGAATGTAAAATTATCTGCTCGCTTGTACTGTACGTAGTGATAATGCACTATCAGAATTAAGAGAATGTATATAACACTTGATGTAATACTGTGTCAAAGAATTTAAAAATACGAAAAAATTAAAAGAAATTGAGTAATTTTAGTATATCTTTCAATATTTTTTTTTTACAGATCTGATAGTCTTCCAACAAATGTTCCTTTCGACGTTAAGATAACTTGCTCATTGCGTACGAAACAAAAGCCAGATTATATCTGAGGATTTGTTCTTGACCTTAATGATTTTAATACCCAGTTCTTAACAATGTCTCAAATATCACAATAAATTCGTAAACATTTAATAGGTCACAAAAATAAAATCAGCAACTTATTTTTCTTTGTGTAAATACATTTTTGAAAATAGAAAATTCTATTCTTTATAATACAAGAAAAAATCGACTTTTATATCTTTCTGTCATTTTTCCTTTGCTATAATAATTTTATTTGTGTGCATCGTATCTTGTATTTTTGTAATCTCTTTTGTAAAATTACTCATTTACAGATTCAACCAACATATTAGTTCATTAATATAAAACTTTAATATTACTTTTACATGTTAATATAAAAAATTAAAGATAAAAAAGTTACTAAATCTTTTCAATTGAATTTTGTCCAGTTTTATTTCTAATAATAATGTACTTGTCTAAATTGTTGCTTCGCTATTATGTTGTCACATAAATAAATACATATATTGTAAATTTATTATATATATGCATATATATGTGTACGTATATACACACACATATATATTTTATATCTTTTACATGTATATACATATATATGTATTTATATGCATCATATATTGTACATATCACAGGAGAGAAATTTCTCAAAATATCAAGCTGTTTTACAATATAAAATAAGTTTATTATAATCTTAACGCACCTACTTAATGTAGCTAACTTGTATTGTTATCTAATAGCTCTTGTGCTCGAAAACAGTCGCTTACAATTTTCCATTTATCACCTATAGCCGTAATTAAAAAGGTTTGATTGAATGATTTTGAATTCTTCTCGTCATATTTTACTTGACCGCCGATCTTGACAAGAAATGTTAATTGGTTGGCTACCTCTGGACCTATTGTTAACATAGTACAGACACAACAATAGAAAAATTTAGTTTCGCGTATTATTAAGATAAATATTTAAATAATGAAATTAATGTACAAGCATTAAATGAGAGAATTTATTTAGATGCGACTGAGAATTTATTTATAAATTCTATCAAAATTTAAGTTATAAAAATTGAGATACAATATAATGTGCAATATTATTTAATATTTATAAACTTCTATTCGTTTGACACTTTTATAGTAAAAAAAAATACAAGTTTATTATACTTTATTTAATCACAGTGCAGTTATCGAAGATGTTACCTGTAATTGGTTGAGCATCAAGAGTATGAACAGTATGTTCTGAAGGTGGTAAATCTGTCCAGAATTTCTGTATAGTTTCTTTGCCTGTTACACCATTTCCATTCCATATCAGAGTAGCGGTATCCATATACATTCTTGAAATCAGCTAAAATTATATATATGATTATTATATTAATGTAACATAATCAAAAAAGAATATATTTGACAATGTTATTATTACTTACATATCTCCGTTTGTCTAAAGATTCATAATACAACTTTGTGAAGTCTTCTGCAGTGCGACAAGCATGATCAATTTTAGCTTTCAAGTCCTAAATAAACAGATGTAAAAATTAGAAACAAATAATTAAATATTCTAAGTATGTAAGCAGCATAATTAACTGCTTTTATAATCTCTAACTTTAATAGCAATAAAATCGTCAGGAAAATAACAGCAATTCAATTATTATTTTAATCTTTCATTACTCGTATAGGATATCAGAAATAACTCAGCCTTATAAATTCGTTAAATATATAGATGTTATTTATACACGTTATTATATTTAACACAAATTATTTCGAAATTTAAAAAATTTGTTTTTATCTCTTTATTTGAAGGATGTATAAAATAAAATATTAATCTTTATTTAATTATAAATCATCAAAAAGAACAATGAAAAATGAGATATAATGTTGGGGTGTTAAAAACACTTTGCGAGTAATTACGTTAAAAAAATCTGGAAGGAATACAGGGTTAACTATATTTTTATGAATTAGAAAGACGTAATTATCGACATATAAGACATATAGATTTAAGCGTAATCAACAAATAAAATGCATTATTCTGCAAAACATGTACTTTAGTAGTCGAACAATTTCATTTAACAATGCACAAATTGTTTTTAAAGTTTTATCTTCAATATATGAACATATTGATCGTAGTTTATATACATGCTGTAATACCTGTTCCATTTTTGATTATTATATATGCTCAAAGTTGTGCAAACTTATATTTTTAATCTATTTTTAATCTTGCATCAAACACATAAAACGCACAGAATGCAGAAACTTGACAACAGGACAATAGGACATCCTAACCTTTTTATTCCGACGAAATCTTCTGTAGGCACACTACCGCCATTATATCCATTTTATAAAAATGTGCATTACGTAGCACACCCATTTTGCGACCTTGTCGATAAAATCATAGTGCCGAAAATGGATACAGTGCGCGTCCGTGCTTATACACCCACATATTCTCAATGAATAATCTGCTGTATCTACTAAAGTTGTAGTCTATTCTATAGATCCTCGAAATAAAAAATTAAACAAAATTTACTGTGGAACACTTGAACTGTTATAATCTCGAAATATTTCATACTTCGTAATTTTTTTATAAGCGTTTACATAGGCGTACTCAGGATTTCAGCCAGAAAAGTAAAAAAAGTTATAAAACTTAGTTTATCTTTACATACAAAGATAAATTTTTTCATATTTTAATAATAAAGTTGCTTGCTATTAAGCAAATTAATCGTCAGGCGAATAAAAAGAAATTTCCAAATCCAATTTTTTATTTTTTATTTTCATCATACAATTTATTATTATTATTATTATACAATATATTGTAATAACTTATCGGTCCCGACTGCATGTATGAACTGCTCAAAATGAATAATTGATTCGCGTCGTTTAATGGTCGATTATGAATGAAACCAAAATATTCGATACATTCAAATACAAATATTCGCGCGACAGATCATATAAAATTTTATATATATATATTTTATATATATATATATATAAAATAGAGGGTGATTTTTAATCACATACATAATATGTAATATTTTGAAAATGTTAATTTTTCCTAAATAATCTAGTATAACAGCATTTCTTAGAAGACTTTTTTTTTCCTGATAGAGATAACGGGTTTAAATGAGCATGTATGACTAGAATCTGCTCGTTTTGGTCATACTGAATAAATTTTAGATTCATTATATAATCATTCTCTCTCTCTCTTTCCTCTTTGGAATTTTAATTAATTTGTTCATCATTAATATGAATTATGTACTGATGAAAAAATTTCTATTACCATAAATTTAACATAGATTTTATCTTTGTGATGCAGAATGTTATATTAATAAAATAATTTCGCAAGTATTAACATATATTTTATTTTTTTAGATATTTGTTTAAAATGTACTGTTTTTGTTGTATGTAATTAAGCGTCACCCTACGTATCCAAGGATGTCATGAACGCGAAGAGATTTTTTCTTGTATAGTATAATGAGAAAATCTCTTAGAAGCGAGACACTTCCAATTATAAAAATAATCTACAGTTTCCAAACTATCGACGAGTAGTGATGGTGTTAATAAACATACTGTTCGAATCATTTCAAGAATATTATACAATTCTGCGAATATGGAAGAAATAATTAAGAGTTCATAACAATCTTAACAACTATTAAAATCTTGAGAAGAGCTTTTGAAGATCTTAATATATTTCACAACATTTTTCTTAAATGTTTTAAAAATAAGCAACAATATTTAAAATTCTGAATATAACATTTTGAATTAATTTTAATAAAACACTGACTATATAGTTTTCTATAACTTAATCTAAACTTTAAAAAATAACATATATTCTATATGGAATGCTATAAAGTACTTCTGTTTCACACAGAGTTGGTAAAAAAAAATACTAATGTTTTTTTTTTTAAGAATAAAACGTACTGTGTTTCTTCTTAAATATGTTTTTAATGCTTCAAATATATTTTAAACAGTACTATAAAAAAAACATTTAAAACATATTAAAAACATCAATTTAGCATGTTTTAAACTGTTTAAAACACGTTTAAAACATGTTTTTTACCAACCCTGATTTCACAAGAGGTTTGAATCGTTCATGGCTTCCAAAGTTTTCGAAAATTTCAAGACTTTTGCATTGTTAAGATTATCATTTTTTTAATAAAGACAGCTTTTTTAATTCTTGCAGGACCTAAGAGATGATGCCTAAAACGATGTGAAACATCACTATAATAGAATCGCTCGAGGTAGTGGAATTGAGTACACATCACTACTAAAAGAAGCAAAACTTCGCTATATTCGCTCTTAAACAAAATAGATAAGTCAACCGCTGCTTTCGACACGTAAGTAACTTTCTGGCTTAAAAAACGCGCATCAAAAATTAAAATTAAAAAAAAACAGGAGAAAACTATATAATACGCAAGGCTGCTCCAATTTATTGCCGGCACTGAAAATACTATAGTTACGTGCACTATAGATTTTCAATACAGGCGGTCAATTTTGGAACATAGCCTACACACAGATCTGTCGCGCATCATGTTATTCGTTCGTTCGCTCGTTTACACGCATATGATCAGCCGCTTCGTTCTCGTGTGTTATCTCCGGTCGCTACGACCGCCGTTCCTGTAGCCGCCGCGTCCGCGCGAGTTGCTCTTTGTCGTCGGCGCC